GGGGGTTATTTTTGGTCCTTGCTCTCTCACTCCCTTGCTCTCTACTTGCAGATCTTCATACGTGCGTGCATGATAATTGACTATGGCAAACTTCCTACTGGCAAAACCCTCCTGAGGGACTTGCACAAGGGCTACAGCAATGTGCAGTTCAACTTCGATTCTAAAAACACACACTGCATAGTCCAGGGCCCATTCACTGAGCTGCAGGCCTTCAGCAGAGACCTGCTGGGCAACCTGAACCTCAGGAGCAAAGCCACTGGGGAGATCCTCCTGCCAGATTCCAGCCGTGGGGCCAAAGAGATGGGAATGCATGATCACCAGCAAGTGCCTGACTCCACTGAGTCAGCAGAAGAGACAGCAAAGCTGCCAAATGGGGACCAGGAGTGTGAAATGACAGCTAAAATCCCATCACCTCGTGGCCCAGTGGATGGGGAAGCTGTGGAACAGCTAGAGGAATTTTCTCTAATGATGGACTTGGACATCTACCTGTACATGCAGAGGTTCTGTGCTGCCAAGTACCAAGGTGTGCTGCGCCAGCATCGCGTGGATGTGGTGGATGTTACCAGCGATGGCATCACCATATTGTACCTCCAGCCATCTGGAGGTCTGTCTGGGGACATGGAGGCCTTGCGAGAGGCCCGCCTGGCCCTGCAGCAGCTCTACCAGCAGCTGGAGGCAAGCCTGCGCAAGGAGAAGATCGCCAAGAGAGGGCTGGGAGTGGACAGCCAGGCACTCAGGGCTCTGACACATGAGCTGCAGAAGCTGTATCCCCAGTTGCTTTGCCACGAGGACACGAAGCAGATTTATCTTATTGGAAACCTCGTTGACGTGTCCCAGGCCAAGCAGTACCTTCAGCATTCCATCACCAGGAGAGGTGCTGCACACGCAGTTGATGTGCTGAGCAGCAACCAGCCCTCACACCCCGCAGCCTCCGGCACCACAGAGGCTCCACTACATCTGCCCAAAGTGCCTGTGGACTCCTCAGTGACAAAGCTCAGCTCAGGCAGGCCAGAGCTGAAAGGTGAGCTTAAGCTAGCTGCCAACTTCAGTGCCCTGAAAGCTGACAGGTCTCAGGCTGGCCAGGGCCTCTTGCTGAATCAGGACTCTCCGCCAGTGGGACAGGTGCAGCTTTCCAGGAAACACTCATCAGATGCTCCTGGTCTGAGTGACCCAACAGCACTGACCCAGCAGTATCAGCCTCCTGTCCCTACAGCAGGTAATGTTAGGGGGTCAGCAGCAGAGCCTCAGCAGAACGACCCCACAGAACGGGACCATGTCGAAGGAGCTGTCAGGCTTCCAGGGCACAAGGTGCTGTCGTCCTTTGGGGGCAAAGAAGACAGCACTTCACAGCATCCTGGGGACTCTAAAGGCTCAGGTCCCATTGGGCACCATTCCCACACTGGCACCTCCAGCACCTTTGATGTGACAAGGACCTCTTCTGCTTTAGACTCCAAACCCTCTGCACCCAGGCCTCTGCTGCGCCGGTCCAACAGCTTCTCCCTGCCGAGGTCAGAGGAAAGCAGCAAGTCCCGAGACAGTGGCAGCAGCAGGGTGAGTGAGGAAATGAGCCTGGACTTTCTGCAGTGGTCTTACCTGAGAGACACCTGCCGTGTCGCTATCGACAAGCTGTGCAGGGGGGGGAAGGTGCAGATCTCGGAGCGCCGTGCTGGGGACTGTGCAGTGCTGACACTGCAGGCAGAGGACAGGAGCAGGCTCTTCCAGGCTAAATGGCAGGTGGAAGCTCTTGTGCAGAAGTGCCCTGACCTGGTGTGTCAGAGTCTGAGCTACTCAGAGCTTGCTGTAGATGGTCCAGATGACAGTGCCCTGAGTGAACTGTGCAGCCTCTTGCGAGGAAAATCCCTCCAGGTTGGACTCCACAAAGACAAGTACAAGCTGTATCTTGCTTACCCCAAGGAAATGCTGCCAGGAGTGACTGAAGCCTTCCACGTGTTTTCTTCCAGGAGGCTACGTGCCCTGAAGTCTTCATCTGTGTCTCCAGGACTAGAGAGTACAGGGCAATCAAGTGTCATCCAGCCAAGTAGAAGCCAGGACACGGTGCCGGATGCAGCCCTTTCAAGTAGCCTGGAGTCCCTCCAGATGGGCCTGCAGCACCTGAGCATCAGCAATCAAGCAGTCCCCAATGATATGCTCAGGGCTTCCTGGGTGCCAGCAACCGAGGAAAAGAGGTCCCCCAGTCCTTGGACGTTCCAGCAGGCAAGGGGGCAGGAGGAGGCCAATGGCCGTGCTGATTCTGGGACTGGGCAAGGAGGAAGCAGCCTTCTGAACCCTGCTGCGGGGGATAAGCCAAGTCCTGCTGGTCTGAAGGAGTCCCAGGAACAGCTGAAGACAAAATTGTCCCTGGGGGAGTCGGACATCGCCCGGCTAAAACAGGTTTTGCCAGACAGATTCCAGTTTGCAAGAGACAAAGGCAAGAGCAGAGGAGGCCACAATGAAGCGATGGGACAGCTGCGCTCCCCAGTCCCTGCAGCTGAGGGGGCTCCTCACTCCCTGCCCACCTGGCTGTGCAGGGCCACGGCTCCTGAGCTGCCACCAGCTGCGGCCCAACAGGCACCTGCAGCAGAGCCCAGGGGCCAGGGAAGGGCACAGCTCCCAAAGGGCAGGAGCAGTGAGCAGGAGGAGCCTGACCTCCCATCACAGCAGAGAAGAGACTCCAGCCTTGGACAGGAAAGTGGCACCATTCCCCTGGGCCGGTGTGATGCTTGCCAGGGCTCAGGGGTGACCTGCCAGGGCCCCTGTGGTCATGCCTTGTGCAGGACGTGTTTTGCAGCAGACAGTGTGCAGCCAGCATGCTGCAGCTCCTCCTCAGCTGCCCCCAGTCCCAGGATCCCGGGGACATTCAAGATCTCCTCTCTGTCTCAGAACCTGCCCGGCTACTACCGAGACCTGACGCTTCAAGTTGCTTACAGTATCCCTGACGGCGTGCAGGGGGTAGGTACCCACATGGGGCTTCCCCTTCCCACCACAGCACACGCAGGGGGTCTGTCAGGGTGGTTGGGGTGAGGGCAAGTGTGTGTGTGTAACTGGGGGGAAAGGGCAGCCACAGCTCCCTACCTCATGTGGAAAGCAGCAGAGGTATTAACCTGGGGAAGGCAAAAAGCTTCACACCAGGTTTGGGAGCAGCTTGCTGCTTTTGAAGAGGAGCAAGTATGATCTGTTTTTAGTTGACAGTGACTATCAGCCCCTGGGGACCATGGTCACTGGTGTATCTCTCAAGCTGGCACAAACCTTAGAAGTCCCCTCAGAGGCACAACACTCCAGCCACTGTTTAAAACATCTTATTCCTGTTCTAAGGTTGGGGACCCTCGCCCAGGACAATCTTACAAAGGGGGGCATTTCTGTGCCTTCCTGCCTGACAACAAGGAAGGGCAGAAGACAGCAATGCTGCTGAAGAAAGCATTTGAGCGTGGACTGACGTTCCAGATCAAGTCCTGCAATGGAGAGGAAAGAGTGACATGGGGCCTTATCCCACACAAAACCTCCTTTGGTGGAGGCAAAGCCAGGTATGGCCCAGCTCATCCTAAGTTTTGGGTATGGTTGTGGTTGTTTTAGCAATTAGAAGAGGAGAACCATGGGCTCAACAAATCCTGGCAGGGGTGGCTCTTCCATGCTCCCATGGTGGCAGAGTTGGTGCCTCCCTTTGCTTCAGCTTGCAGGGCAGCTATGGTATGGCAGACCACCCCTGGCACCCTCCAGCTAGAGCAAAAGCCCTTGCCCATCCCACACCTGTAAATTCCTCAAGGACAGGAATTCTAGGCCCTGTTCACTTACAGCCTTTCCCGTGACAGGGCTCTAGAGCCAGCACTGGGTGTGAGCTGTGCCTGCAGGTGTAAGCAGCTCCCAGGAGCAGGACTTCCACCCTCAGCCCCTGCTGAAGGGTTGGGGCAAAACCAAACTGCCGCTCCCCCCTCTGTGATTTTGGCACATCAGCAGGATTTACAGCACTTCCCCCTCTGCTCCACAGGAACGGCTACCCGGACGCCCAGTATCTCCGGGAGGTCCGCACGGTTCTGAAGAAACTGGGCATTGCATGAGACCCCCATGGCCACAGCCCATGGCTTTGCTTCGCCTTCCTTTCCTTCTGATAAAACTGCAGCTTAATAGAGACAGCTTGAGAAAAAGCAGGTGTTTATCCAAGGAGCTCCTGTGTCCCCATAGGTAGCCAGAAACCTGCACATCAGCGACAGCAGCACCTCCGTCCCTGCCCCACACAGGCCTCAGTGTGGATCAGCACTTCCTAGAAACTCCAGCTCCTCCTGGTTGTGTGTCCTGCCAGCCAGTTACACACCTGATTTCAGCTGATTTCAGGCCTGTGTGGCTTTCAGCAGCATGACCCAAACCTTAGCAGGAGCCTGTGCCTAGTCCAGCCCCAGCTTCTGGAAGTACCTTCCACCTCCTACAGGCAGGTTCCAGTTCAGCTACCACCAGAGCCAGGGCCAGAGATAAGCTGTCATTAGTGTCAGCTCTTCATGCCTCAGCAGACAGCCTCATGCTTCAGCCCCTCTCCAGCACCTGCTCTGGGGCCAGCAGGTGACCTGGTGCTCTCTTGGGGAGAACATTAACAGCTTTCAGCATCTGCAACAGCTGCCTCCCAGGGACAGTCTCTTAAGTGGAGAAACATAAATAAAAAGGATTTATTCTCACGTTCAGTAGTGGTTGTTCATGGCTTGTCTTACCCTCAGCCCAGGCACCCTCCTTCAGTCCCACCTGGCTACAGAGACACCTCAGACACAAAGGGCAGAGCTCAGCTAAGGGCTTCACAAACAAAAATCACCATAGCTGCCTTCCAGAACAGCGTGTTAGGAGCAACAATTAATAGTTGTCTTCCAGAGCAGAGGCACCTCCTCATGCTGGGAGAGTAACACTTTATCAACTGAACCTGTCCAGAGGCCAAGCTGAGGGCAGAGGGTTCATGCCAACAGAAACCTGAGCAGTGTACCATGGACGGTTTTGTTATGCTTTTAATTACCATTTGAAACACATAAGGCATATGGTAACATTTGAGAGAGGAGCATTACACATAATCATGTAAACATCAGGGGCACACTTCCTTTCTGTCCAGCTTGGTTACACGTACAAAGCAGAATATATATTTTTAAACAAAGATTTTCCATGTGTCCGTAGGATGAGCATCACTCATATCACATATCTGCAAACCAACATGACTCAGACAGTACAGACCAGACTGTATGTTGTAAGAGGCTCACTCAGAGTCTAATGTGTTTCACATCATGCTCATGTACTACTTGCCAGTCACACTTTGCCATCACGAGGACTCAGCACACCAGAGACTTCAGGCAACCAGTGGTGTAACACCTATGATAGCAGCTGTCAGTGGGCCAGAATTCTGCACCAGCTGAAGCCTAAGACCCACAGTGCTTCTTATTTGTCTCTGGTCAATCAATTCTAGTTTAACACAGGTGTCTGAAACAAAATGTACAGCCAAACTCCTTCCCACAGTACTTGGCATGGGCTGTGTTCCTCCATCCGAGTGGAGGCCGCCTCTGCTCCCTTCCCCTCCTGCGGTCAGCATGCAACCTAAGGAAGCTTCAGAGAAACCAAAGAGTCAAAAACGTGGCAACAGCTGCCTGGTGAAGCAAAGGAGTTGCCCTTTATGCAATACCAGCAGCACCAGCCTGGGAGGCCACTGCAGCAATGACAGGAGAGGCACTTGCACAGGCACCCCATGCTGTGGCACGCAGGGCCGGGGACCCCTCCTCTGCTCATCAACCCCTTACTCACACTTTCCACTTGTACTCCTCATGGGAGAACCTTAGAGTCAGACAATCAGTAAAATAAACATTAAATTGCACTTCTGATAGCTGGAATGGCACACGTGATTAAGGACAGGAATCTCCCACTTCCTCACTAGCACAACTTTGCCCTAAACAAGCAATGTTGAGTGGAATGATTTTTATACTAGGGTTTGTTTTTGGTTTTCTGCTTTGGTCCTTGTGTACAAACCTGCTGGTTAACTTGATTAAGACCCTTGAAGTTGTTTTACATAGATTCTATACCTACTGTCCCATAAAAAAAAAAAAAAAGTAAAAAACCAAAACCAAAAAACAACCAACAGCACCCGCCTAGAGCAGAGCATGGAGCAGGGGCAGAGGAGAGCAAGGTTACACTTAATCTTGGTCTTTCTATAGAAAACACTGTTGCTACCAAGGGACACAAAACAGCCAGTGCTGAATTCTAACACACAGTAACTGCTTGGCATTCTTCCTGCCCCGATAAGGGCTTCAGGAATTTGTATGCAGAAGACACGTGAGCAGATACAGGAACAGGGATTGTTCCCAGAGAGCCAAGGCCAGGGCAGCAGATAAAGCCTCACTCGAGGACTGCCAGGAGCCAAACAGCCACCCTGAGGGAGACAAGGGCTCTACAACAGGTCTTCTGGACTGGGGAGCACAGAACTGCCAGGACAGCCCTGGAAAGGCTAGAACACCTGGGAAGAGTACAGCTTGTTCACAGAAATTCCAATGACATCACCAGTGTTCACAAAAGAGAGCTAGCAAGAGTCAAAACAGGATTTTGGCAATATACCTGGCCAGAATGGAAAAGGCCCCAGTGACTTCCTAGTCATGTAGCAGAAGGCACTGAGATGCTGTTTCCTGTGGGTTGGGGGGTCTGAGCTGTGAGGCTCCTGGGCCACACCACCCAACCCAAGGCCATCCATGTAAGGCACTGAGCACGTGCTTGACCCAAGAGTAAAGCAGGGAGAGGATGTTACTGTGAAACACACTGGGATAGCTTTCCTTTTCACCAGTGAGTAGAACCTGAAGATGTGCAGGGTTGGGTGCCATTTGAGCACGCTGCTCTGTCATCAAGGTAAGGTCCAGTTTCTCAGAGGAACAGGTCCAGACTTTCCATTTCAGCAATTTGGACAGTCCTGTTGTCAGACCTAGTAAAGCAGCATTAAACACTGTTGGATTTAATCTAAATTAGCACGACAGGGCAGATTGAAAGAAGCAGCAAGATTCTGGATTCAGAAAGATAAGAAGTTGTGCTTGCGAGTTCCATCAGCCCATATTTATGAAGTTCAAGAGATGAACTGACAAGGATCTGTGAGAGGGCTCCAGCACTCCTCTGAGGTTGTAGGGAACAGGGTTGTTTCAATATGTAAAGTTAGCCAGGCAAGCTGTGCCTACGCATTTCTGAAGAACTTTGGACTGAGCCCAAGCACCTGAACTACAAGCTGCACTGATAGACAGGAGCCCTGCTGGAGGACAGAGCAGGCTGAGGAAGAAGCCACACTCCTCCCCTGCACAGGACCCCCAGCCCTGCGTGGGCTCTCTCAGGGGCCAAGGGGGCTGTGTGTGGGGCCCTGCACTCACCCTCCTTAGGCCCTGGGCCCTGCCTGGGGGTTGGTTAAGCAGGACTTCTGGTTGCAAGGTTTTGCTCCTGAAGCCTGAGTTCTTCCATGATGAGCAGCTCTTCTTGGTGCCCTTGGGTTTACCTTTTCAAAACCAAAATGAAGCCTAAAAGCCCACAGCACCTACAATCCATGACAAAGCCTCAAAAGCAAGTACCAACAGCACCAGAGTTGCCTGGGACTACAAGCAGGGTCCAGTGGGAAGCACAGCACCACCCAGGACTCAAGGTGCTCACAGAACTGGGCTTGGGTCTCTGCACAGCTCCATTTTCAAATGCACAGAAGAAAAGCAGAAGAGAAACAAAGTTCTGCTATAGGAGGAACACCACAGTCAGCTCCTAAACCCTCAGTGCTGGAAGAGAGCCCAAGGGTCCCATGAGTCAAAGATTCACAGGAAGAAGAGTCAAGCCCTACTGCAGCACTGAACCCCAAGCTGGTGTGAGTGTTCCCATCCCAATGAAGTCCATTTCAACACTGCAGCCCTTGGAAACACAAACAGGAGGGTAAAGTTTAGCCTTAGCAATAGCAACTTGGAGCCCAACATAATAAAGCACAGAGCCAACATCAGTTGTTCCAGTCGTTTGACACAGTTGAGTCCTTATGGTCTCAAAGAATCAGACACAGTTCAGATCTCTCTATCCAGTTTGGAAATAGAAAATGGACAAGATCAAGTTACCCAATTGAAACTTTTCTTCTGTATTGAGACACAGCCCAGCTCAGCCTGTCAGGGTATTTGCTGACTGCAAAGAGAAGTAACTGCAAATTAAGCACAGTATGCCACAGACCCCAAATTAACCAGGATGGTCAAGGCAAAGACAACAGGAGTTGTTACTGACTGTGTTAGTGGCCTACAAAAGCAGAGGGGAAAGAGCAGGGCCAGTGTGAACAGAAGAGAAATCCCTGCTTGAATTAAACGAGGCCAGCTGTGCTTTCCTTTGGCTGTGGAGGAAACACCCTACATTTGGCCAATTCTCTGCTGAACAGGCTTCACAAAGGTGACAGTGAGAACACTTCATCAGGGCTCAGTTTCTGCAGATACTTGGCAGTTGCTACAGTACATTTGGCCATGACTTTACAGTGACAGGCTGTGCAGTTGTTAGTCACCAACTGCCTGGAAGCTTCAGCTGCACTGTGAGAAAAATAAGGTTAGTTTGGAAATTCAGTAGAGAAACAAGTGATTAGAAAACTGTACGAAATAAACAGCCTTCAAAAGAGAGAGCAGGAGGCATATCTGGCAAAGGGTCAGTCACAACAAGAGCATGCAAACCTCATCTGAATGATAACCATGATGTTCTTGTACTGGTGAAGATGGAAGCTACTGATCTGTCCATTTTCAGGTCCCAAAGAGATCAGGGAGTTAAACCATGAATTCATAATCTGCATACATCTCTTTTCTTTAGTTCTCTGCTTTTTTGGATTCTTCCTTCGGCGCTTCAGGAACCAGGATGACTTTTCCAACATTCTTCTTTTCTTGCATCTGCCTCATGGCCTCTGCCACCTGGAAGCAAAAGGAATCTGGTGAGATCCCCACCCACCCTGCACAGTGCATCCATGCCCTTCCTGGGCCCCTCAGTCCACCCAGACCAGACTAAAGGATAACCCAGAGGCACCTTTCCCTGCAGTCCAAGCAAGTGCCAGGCCTGGAATCCAAGTTTTCCTTAAGCCTCTCCATAAGACAGGTATCAGGTACGAATACTGACTGATCATCATTAAGTTCTTTGCTCCCCTGCAGCAAGTCCTGCCCCAGCACAGGATTTCCAAGGGAAGAGCCTGACTTTGCCTGGACACATCCATGCAACAACACTGATCAGAGCTACTGAAAAACCTTCTGCTCCCTTCCAACACCCTCATTCTGCTTCACTGCCGGAGCTCTTTTTCACTCTTGGAAGGGCAGCAACAACCTTCCCATCTGTTCTGCTTAATTACAGGGGGCAGGCTCAGGGCAGACTCCAGCCTGATGCATAATGCAGCCCCTTCCTGGTTGCTGCTGCCCATGGAGCACAGCTGAGCACCTGCCCTACTCCACAGGGACACTGTCTGCCATTGCCCAGCTCTGTGCACTGGAGCAGAAGAGCCCAGCCACTTTACTCACCCACAGTATCTTAAAAGGAAAAAGGCACCAAACGTCTGCAAACAGATGGTTATCAAACACTTCCAGCAGGTCAGCCCCAGGAACAAAGGTGCTCACTCTGAACTGCTGCCAGCCTGTATGTTAGCTCAGACTCACCTGATCAAAGGGCCATACAGAGTCTATTTTAGGCTTGATTTTTCCTTGACTGTACAGGTTAACCAGCTTGGCTACAACGCTTCTGAGAAGCTCAACTTCTTCATCCATATATCCCAGGTGGTAGCCACACACTGCCTTGTTTTGTTGTAGGAGCTGCAAGGCACTGATGCTGAACTGGTTCCACCAGGTTTTAGCCATAGCCATGAGGTTCTTCTTTTGTCCAGTGATCAGGTTTGCTACCCCTAAAAAGAAGGCAAGCTATAGATGAGCTGGAACACAACATGAGAGGCAACAGGCATCCCATGGAACAGCTCAGACAATGCACAGGGGAACAGCAACTCACTGTCCAGTGATGGACAGAGCTGAGAACTGGATTACATGAGGCTCTGCCCATCTGACCATCAGTGGAAACAGGCACCTGTCTCAGCCTCAAGATAATCCAGAATGTGGATTATCAGCACTCGTATATATCACAAAAATGTAGAATTCCTTTTTTCATCCCTCCTAAGGCAGAAGCAGCTAGACTGGAGTACTGGCAGAGACAAGAAAGGGTTACAAGTGCCATCCAGCCAGGCTGGCAGGACAGCTCTCCCCTTCTCCTACAGCCCTGCTTCTTCAGGGGAGTCACACGCTGCAACGGCTGCAACAGCAGAAGCAGCACACTGGTGCAAGTGTCTGGAATACCACTGGGGATTGTGTGAAGGCTTTGTCTATGGGACAAAATCACAGTGTTCCAGAGCTGGGGAATGGAGAGATAAGTATTCAGTAGCCTCAAACCTCATCACCCACACATCCTCTAGAAGAAAAGCAAGGCTGTGCATTAACTCAGCCCAGACAAAGCAGCTGTGCCTCTGTTCCTCCATGAGGACATTCCAGCTTCCCCTGCAGGCACTGGCTTGTACTCAAAGAGAGATCTTGCCCTGGGAGGGAAGAGCCTTGGAGCCTGTAATCAGAGCTCTGGGGACAAGACACAAATCTCACTCCCCTCAGTGCCTCACCCAGGGGAAGCATCCTGAAGACATTCATGAAATAACAGAACTACGACACACAGAGCAGTCAGGAATAGCGATGGTCCCTGACAGCACAGGCATGGAGCAACACAAAGCATTCCTGTGTGGATCCCACCCTGCCACCACATGGTCCCCCCTGCACAAGCACTGGGTGTGGGCACGGGGCTCACACGCACCGTAAGTGATGACTTTGCCCATTGGCTTCAACAGGTTGAACGCTTTGGTTGTATCGGATCCTCCCAGCGGGTCCAGCACAATGTCAACACCTAGAGAGAGAGAACTGGTAGTAACTAGAGGTTTCTTTGCACTTGAAAGAAATGCAGGACAGTTGCAGAAACCCTCCACCACGCAGTACCTTTGGGAGAGATTTTCCGCACCTCCTCTGCATAATCCATCGTTCGGTAGTCGATGGGGTGAGCAACTCCACTCTCCTTGAGTGAATCGTGCTTGGAGGCAGACGCTGTGCCAAAAATGGTGACGTTTTCTACAGTCTTGCACAGCTGGATGGCAGCAGTTCCCACACCACCTGAAAATCAGCAGCGAGAAAGCCTCAGAAGCAAACAGTCAGAAAAACCTCTGAATAGGTAAATTATCCCTGTTTGCACTGATCGTGTGCTGGCGACAGCCTGCAGAACAAAGGCTCTGCCTGGTGAGGCTGATGCCTGGGACACACTGGGAGAGACCAACCTCAGCTGCTGGGAAATGGGGCCAGCATGAAGCCTGCACCTCTGCCAGGTGACATTTTGTCAATCCAGCCCCATTACTTCCTTACCCATGCCACCCATTTGGAAACTGCATGGTGAGGCCAAGAGTCTCAACATGGGCTGTCAAGAACTATTTACCTGCAGCCATGTGGATGAGGACACTCTGGTTGGGTCTCAGGTTTCCAAAGTCAAACAGGATCATGTAGGCAGTGATGTAGTTGACAAGAAGAGCAGCTGCTTCCTCGAAGCTCATCCCCTCAGGCATTGGAAAAGTCTGACTGGCCGGCACATTTACGACTTCTTGCCAGAGCCCTGACCGAGCCAGGACCATTACCTTATCGCCAACCTAAATTTGGAGGACAAGTGGGTCTAAAACAAGCTCAAGGCTAGCAGAAGCCGTCACAGCCCTGCCCTTGGTATGCCACAGGCAGTGCATGCACGCTGTTCTCTGTGCAGAGGTCTGCAGGGACTGCAGCAGCCCTGGCTCAAGCAGGAGCCCACAGCATGCACTCTGCTCATCGGGAGACTGCAGCACAGCACCTCTCACCACAGGGTGAGGCATAACCTTCGACCCTCAGAGGGACTGCAGGCACCCCAGGCTCTGGCTTGTACCCAGGGTGCTGCCTGCCAGCTGCCCAAACGAACAGACCCCTAACAAGGCAAGAGGGATGAGGTTCGTGTCTTGCCCTCCTTGCTCAATTTGGAAGCAGGAGTCTGAACACCGCTGAACATTACTGCTGCCTCTTGTAAGGATCATCCTGCCAACAGGCAGGAGCCTTGGGGTAACGCTTAATAGCATCAACCGTGGAAAAACACGTCCAACCTTAGGAAAACCTCCCGGGTCTAAGGAATACGGCCTCTCCCAGCTCCTCCCCATGGCTCCGGTCCCTCAGCCCGGGCGGGCGGGCGGCGGCGCTTCCGCCGTCCCGGAGCGAGCGGGACGGGCAGGGCCGTCCGGGGGATTCCTCGCCTTTGTCCGGGGCCTTTGTCCGCTGCCGGAGCTCGCGCGGGCGGCAAATCGGACGGCCGCCTGGACCGGGCCCTGAGCACGCCGGAGCCCGAACGGGGAGCCCCGGCCGCCGGGGCGGGCCCAGTGGAAAGGCGGCCGGGGGGCATCGACGAGACTCCGCAGCGCGGCGGGGCCGAGCGCCTCACCTGTCGGGTCGCGGACGCCTTCTCCGCGGCGCGGACGGTGCCGGCGCACTCCCATGCCGGGGCAGACGGGCGGCGGCGGCAGCGCGTCCGTACAGGCCCTGCGCGCCATCAAGGTCGGCGAAGTTGAGGCCGGCAGGCGGCGACGCTCCACCGAGACCTCCCCGGGCCGCGGGGCCGGCGCCGCGCCGGCGCGCCCTGCACCTTCAGCTTCTCGTAGCCGCCGAAGCCCGTCCAGCACCAAGCGCCCGGTGCTCGGCCGCTCCCCGCGCCCGCCGGCGGTCCAGGGGCGCGGGGGCCTGCTCGGCTCGGGGGCGGCGGCGGCCGGGGCCGCCGGCGGGACATGGCGGAGCAGAGCGGCGGCGGCGACAGCGGCTGCTGGCGTGTGGCGGCGGCGACGGGGCGGGGAAGAGCCGGAGGCGCGGCCGCAAGCGGGGCGGGCAGCGCGGAGCGGCGGCGGGCCGGGAGGGGGCTGTCCCAACGCCGCCCCCCGAGCCCGGCCCCCGCTTCCCCCAGGCCGCCCCCGGCCCGTCTCCGCGCCGCCTTTTTTTGTCTTTTTTATTCTTTCCACTTTTTTTTTTTTTTCGCCGTTAAATGATTCCTTCCGAGCAAACACAGCGCTTGCGTCCTTCCTGGGGACAACGCTGAAAGGGCGGTTTTGCTGGAGCATCATCTCCCCGAGTTACCTCTACGATTTATAACTGCCCTGCGGGGCCGCGCTCCGGGCTGGGCTGGCTCCGGGAATGCCGGCGGCTGGGGCTGCTCAGGAAGCAGAGCACAAAGGCAGGAAAGCAGACAGGAGGGCAGAGCCTGGGGCAGGCTGCACATCGTCTGGCTCTGCTGTGTGGCAGATTTATGCGTGTTTGGGTGGCTGCAGTGGGAACAAGGAGGAGACTCATGTCCAGTTGCACGACAGGACCACAGTCCTCCCTTGAGCTGCTCTCCTGCTCTTTCCAGCCTCCTGCTGCCCTCCCTCATCCCCGAGAGAGGCTGAGGAGGATGTACCACAGCTGGAGCAGTGCCAGCTCCCCTGCCTGGCCCTTTGTTACACCTCCCTTTATTTCTACACAGGGCTCTAGCAGTGTTTCTCCTCTGCTCTCAAGGACATTGGAACAATGAACAGGCAGGAGATACAAAAAAACCCGCCTGGCAGCGGTTTGCTGGTCAGAAGGCAGCTGCCTGTGCCTGCTCCCAGGGCTCTCTCAGGATAGAATCCCAGAGGCCCAGGCTCACCAAAGCCTTCCCTCACATGGTAAGACTGCCTGAGACCCCACTGGGGGCCAGGGTCTGGCTGCCAGACATGGCAGGGCTCTGCACATCCCCAGAAAGTGTTGAACTCAAATCTATCTGTCTGGGTTTGTTGGCAACTCAAGGGAAAGATTCCTTCTGCCTCTGTTCTGTGTTTTCCTCACCTGTACCTGCAGTGTTGAGAAGCACAGAGAGGTAGACACAGACAAGATGTCCCAGTTGCATCACACATACCAGGAAAGCTGTGCCTCCTGGGTGACACTATGCCTGTATCACAGTAAATTACATTTACTGTGATTGAAAGGTAGAGCAGCAGGTGGAAGAGATCTGACAGAACCCCTCAGACATACCTGCCACTCACAGCCACAGTTCCCTGCACTGCCGTTTTGATCACAGAGACAGTGGAGATGGTTGTCAAGTGGTAACTGAAGCTCAGGGAACGGTGGCTCATTCCTCACACTGGCAGCAGACTGAAAAAATCCTCCCAGCACAGAGCATTATTCTCACAGTGCACGGGGCTGCAGCTGCTCCAGCCTTTTCCTCTGCACAACCCCAGCAGCAGAGGCTGTGGATGTGCAACACAAGCAAACGGCACAGCTGGCACGAGGCCGGTTTCCAGGTGTGCACGGAACAGCATCCCGCCGTGTCTGCCTCTGGAGGCAGGCACCTTCTCCACCGTGGTCCTCGGGGAAATCCTGTGAAATGAGAACCCTTCTCCTTAACTTCAACCTTCCACCACAGCATCAATAATTTACTGACAATTATAGTCCCCAAATTACAGGCTTAGCACATCCACATGCTGTGCATCCATGAGAAGCCCATTATCTGTCAGCTTGTCTTACCTTACTGAAAACACACAGACTTGCCTCAGTGTGTTCACTGTGGCTTTCAGGGGTACAGCACACAGGACCTGGCAGCGTGGCCTTGCCTTGCATCAGGAGCTGGTTTTCTCTGCATCACTGACATCTCTGCTGCTGTCTGAGGGTGCTGGTTCCTGGCTGCTTCCAGAAACTCTGTGTCTTGGCAGTGCCAGCGGCTCAGTGTTCCCGTGGCTCACCCCAGGCTCACACAGGGTGCAGCAGTAGGTCCCAGAGCCTAGACCCTCACCTGACCCCAGGCAGCTGGAGCATGCCCCCCAGAAGCCCCATCCCTCAGATGGGGACCTTCCCACCAGCCTATGGCTCCCCAGGCACAGTCACACACAGCCCTGCCTCTCTCTGTTGGGCCTGCTGAAAGGAAGGCTTTAAAAAGAAAACTGTTTTATCCCCAGTCTGTGTTTGTGATATGCAATTCATTTTTTAAGTTAAATGGAAAAGAAACTGAAGTTTTGAGGGTTTATTTCTGTTCGTCTCCTGCCCAGCCCATCTCATCTCCACCACTCTCCACGTGAAAAAGAATTGCAAAACTGAAAATACGATTTCAGACATGAGGGTGGTGGAGATCACTTCTGCTGCTGGAGAAGCCATTTCCACTGAGCACCTCTGCCAGGGAGGACCCAGGTGGGCTCACTCCATCACCCCGACAGCCAGTGCTGTGTGCTGCAGCTGCAGCTGGAGCCACAGCCACGCTGGCAGCCCTGGCAGAAAGGGAGCAATGGGAAGGATGTGTGGGTGCTGCACTGCCTCCATGCAGAGCAAGGCAAGGGCAAGGCCAGCGCAGCTCTGGGAGCTGCAGTTCAAGTAGCTGGATCCAGTGTGGGAGAGGATGTGTGGTAAGAAGGTTTCTACGCCCAAGAGGACAGAATCAGCCATTTTCCTCCTCCCACTCTGACCCTCTTTGTGTGCCTTCATGCTGCAAGTCCCTGCCCCTCCAATGAGGCTCCTGTTCCCTGCAGGAGAGACATCCCATGTGGCCAGCCTGTGGAGTCCCCACATCTCCCATGTCTCTCCAGCTGCTACTGGGCTAGATGAGCCCTAAGGAGAGATGTCTGGAGAGAGAGAGGGGGAAAAAAGGAAGCTGCTCACCTCCAGAGGGTCCAGATCACTGTCTTAATACAGAGAAATCTGCAGCAGTAATGAAGACATTGTGCCTCCTCAGCCTCTAACACACATGCTTTGACTGCAGTCTTTCCAGCAGAAGCCTTGGCAGTTGAATGCCTCCTTGCTTTAATCCCTGAGATTGCTTGAGGATGCTGCTTTCATCTGATAGCATTTATGGACTGTTATTTTCCACCTCTTTATCTTTTAGGGGAAACCATCAAATAACACACCACTCGAGGCTGAATGATTTAACTTCGAGTGTTCACAGTTAGTAATACTCTGCAGCTTGGCCTGGAAGGTTTCTAGCTCTTTCACGTATATGACAAGTCCAAGAAGATGGAACAATGCACACATCATAAAAATCCAGGGAATGCTCACTGCATGATGTGATGAACAGGAGCTTTGTCTGTGTTCCCGGGGTGGCACTTGTGCACCTCTCACCAGGTGTATGTGTGCACCTTGCAGGGACCACACCCATGAAACACTGTTTACTCAGTACATTCACCTGAAATTAGGTCCAGTGCCTATGATTGGCTGTAAAGGACCAAGCTTTGGGGCTCTGTGCATGAGAACAAGATGTCACAGGCTCCAGGTTTCAGGCTGCAGGTCCTTTGGTGAGGGTTGGTTTCTCTCAATACATTTTGCCAGTACAGGTCCTGAGAATGTCTTCCAGTTTCTTTGTGCAGGAAATGACACAAATATAACAAAATAAATTTAATTCACAATCGCAATTAACATCCCTGAGAACGTGGATCAGCAAGGGAGAATCTAACCACTGGAGAAGTATTTTCAGGAGTAAATGTGTGAGAGCCATCTGTCGCCTCTCCATGCGCAGTGACAGTCACAGCATGTCTCTGCAGCCTGCTCAGAAAATTCACACCGTGGTGATGGGTTGTTGAGTGTATTCTGCAAGTGTCCTGCCAAAAGGTGCTCTGCACCAAAGGGGACGTGAGGCTCAGCAGTGATGCTGCCCCTGTGGCTCTGAGCAAGGGCAGCAACTACTGCTCCTCCCTGGGGAAGGCAAACGTAGCTGTCGGGTTTGCAAAGGTCTGAGTACTCCCTGCAGAGAGTGTCTTCCTTCCTCTGAAGCAGGGGCACAACAATCTGTTGGGAGCAAACACCTGATTCCTATTGAGAAAAACGGTGAAGTGCTGCCAGAAAGGGCATTGGCCAGGGGAAGAGCTCACTCCAGGTGACACCAGTGGCCACCCAGCACTCCTTTCTTTACCTGCAGTCACAAGACAATGAATTCTTCTTTCCATTCTTCCACATAAAATGGAGCAACATGTACATGTATAAGAAGGAAATGCCACCCCCTCCCCAGGCCTTACAAAAACCTGTCACAGCTCAGGCTCCTTTCCTCAGGGAGGCTGGAAGGAAACAAGCATGAGACAGTCACTCATCATCTTTAAAGCTTAAGGTAAGACTGGGAGGCACGGAGATGCTGCAGCAAAACCCACTGCAAAGCTGCAGAACAAGGAACTGACTGAGCCATTTCCCAGACCACAAAATGCAGGAATGAGACCAGGTGAGGACAGGAGTTACTAGAATTCCAGGACTGCCTCATCTCCTCCGATCACCTCATCTGCTCTGTTCTCAGGTCTTCTCTGGTGTGTGACGATGAGGAGGGACCTGAATTCCTGTTTGCCCAGCTGAATGTGCCACAGACACACCTTCAGCCCTGCTTGTGCTTGGCCCCTGTCCCAGGGGTGCATCCTAAGACGCAGGTGGCCCGTGACCAGATGCAGGCAGCTGGCTCACCATAGTGCTGACTGAGGCTGATGTGTCCCAGGGGGCTTGGCTGGCACAGCTGTCAGGAGGCCAAGCAGCACTTGAAATCCCTGGGTACCTGCATGGCACCCCCCTTGCCTTGCACCCTCTCTCTGTTCTTTACTTGTCCCAACATCACTCACAGCACCAATATTTATGTATGAAAAATGACTGTGATTTCAGTAAAAACAATCTGCCCCCTCAGCCCATTAATAAATCCAGTTTCACTGCCAAAACATTTTAATTTCCATTTTTCCAGCCTTGCTTTGCCTTCATTGTCTCTATTTTTCTGCATTTTGTGACAGGCAGCTTGTCAGTTCCATTCACCATTCCGGTGAACCTTTCTGCAGTGTGGCCAGCAAAACATCAGCAGTAGAGGAGCCTTTCCTTTTCCAATAATTCTACTAATTAAAATCACCGCT